ATACGTAAAATCAGTCAGGTAAAACCATCAGTCCTGAGTGACATCCCATGCGAATATACTCACTGGAGTGACTGGGGATACTTGCAAAATATCAAAGTTGGCCTCTGTCTTGCTTGTTCTCATTTGGACATAGTATAAATGTCTTTGCCAGAAATTTTTCCCAAAACCACTAACATTTAAATTCTCAGCACACTGCTGCTGCAGCCTTTTGGCCTACTCTAACAAAAATAAAGCCTGGAAATTCGATGGTCTAACTGATGTGAATGCGAGGAGTTTCTTTAAGATGCATTATTAAAATGCTGCTATTGTTGGTTATTCCTATTTACCTTTCTCTCATACTAAACCTAATCTTCCTCCTTTCACATAGTATAGGTCAAGCACAGGCAACCACAACCTCACCTGTAGTCTCCCAGTAATGCCAAAGACGGCTCTCATCATTAATGTAGAGATGTTGCCTAAGCCAGTCACTGCACTGCGACCTCTGGAGCACCGCAAGTCCTGAGCTGTGTTGTGCAAGCAGTATTACCATATTTACAAGGGAACAAGCTGTTACGTGCTTTATTTTATGTCTGCTTGATCTATGAAGTTGCTAGAATACCTCTCAGACAAATTCAGAGCGGCACCACTGACCTAGAGAAGTGTGATGTGGACTGTACTCGGGACGCAAACTGCAGTGTGCCCCCCCGACATGGGAGATCACGGATCTGCAAGCGGAATAAAACACCAAGGGGGAAAAGGGCAGATAGAGCAACATGTTACTACTCCTTGTCTTGCACGTCTGACCCATTCACAAAGCCACGTGCTGGGGCGGCAACACAAACGGCAAAGAAGTCGTGCAGAGCGTCGAGAGGGAGCGGCCTCCTCACGAACCCCCGTTCTCACCCTTCCTCGGCTGATTGTGGATGCTGATGGCCTGCGTCTGGTAATTCCCGTCATCATTCTGAACGCACACCAGATGCGAGTCCGCTTTCTCATTGAAGCATGCTCCCCCTGCTAGAACATGCTCGTTGGATTTGTTCATGGCTTTCATCATCTGCAAACAAAAAGGTTTACCATTTCTACACTGTTCATCAAGCGCTACCATAAATAGGTGATTCTTGGAACAGTTCAACGGGACAGAGCAAGCTTCTCAACAAGTGCTCCTGTTCTCATGTCAGATCTTAGCACTCAGAACCATAAACTGCTTTTGAAAAAAGGGTTCAGGTCTTATATCATCTAGATACTTTGAAGTGCCACCTTTTATGTAATTAAGATAAATGGTATAAGGGATAGCTGAGCTATAATAGGTTGCAAAAGCCATTATCTCTATCTGTTTTAAAAAAATAAATTCCCAGGGAAAAAAATTAGAAAAATATCGATAGGAAATATCTGGCTTGTTTACACAACTACAGTTGCTTATGACAGAAATCATAAATGCCTCCACAGTTGAGTGCTAGACTGCACTCAAGACTTGTGGCATTTAATCCTGGCTCAGCCATGACCTGACACCAAAGCTTTCATGTCTCTGTGCTTCACCTGCATGAGTTGGTGAAATGTGGTACAATGTTCCCAATTTGAAGACTTTTAAAAAAGATCCGAATCACAGACATCCAGAAATAATTTTAATTCTCTGCAAAGGAGGCCTCCAAAAAGCATCCAAAAAACATCTGTGATATATCTGCACTTCAGTTTTGCTGATTAACATCTAAACATACACCTAGTTACACGACTTGCCAAAATATTCTTGTAAATTATAGAGCTTCTTTCCTTTTCTCCTCTCTTTAGGCCCAGACTACAAGATTTTTGATCCAAAAGAAAACTGAGGGAGTCCTCTACCTCTGGAATTTGCTTCAAAACCAAGGATTATATGTTTGCTTAAAAGAAAAAAGGGCAAATTAAATTACAACCTCCCCCCAGTGAAAACCCTGATGAGAAGGAAAACGCTGAATTATCTGACATCCCTTAACAGTACTCATACTCCCATCCTCTGCTTCCTGTAGCTTATAAGCATGCACGCTACACACAACACATTTGTCTCTCTCAGTCTAACATAAAACCTTAATTATAGTGTCAGGAACATTAGCTGATGCTCACTATTGACAAATGTGCACAGGTGTAATGTTTGGGGAGGAAACTTAATTAAGATTTCGCATCAGACAACAGTGCATTTCATTATCTAGTTTATCATGTCATGTTTAGCTCAACAGCAGCCATCTTTATGGAGCCCAGTAGTTGCCTTTAGCATAAGGAGAAACAACTGGACATGGCAACTGTGCTTTGTATCAAGGCAACCATGAAAAAAATGAGAGTCACCTTTGCTGAGGGACTAAACAGGCAACTAACCATCACTATAAGGTGTAGAAAAGTTAAATAATTTTGATAAAAATACATATTTAATAGAAAAAACGATATATTATGTTTAATTTGTTGATTACAGTCTGAATTCTCCACGTTTAATCTGTGCATGAGATTTGAAATTAGGTTTTTCACTTTGTAGATAGTTTGAGTGACACACTTTTCTAATACTGCTTTACATGGGGGAAAAAGTAAAGGTCTTGTGGTTTAATTAACCTTAATTCCAACTGAACTCAGATGAAAAATTTCTAGTAATTCAACCTTTCAACTGGACTGCAAGCAATACTGTTGAATAAATAACACTGTCTCCATTTAAAACGTTGAATCCTCGCTTCACGCTGGAAAGAGAACCCAAGCATGATGCAGAGATTTTGTAAGCTGCGTAACACAGGAATTTCCTCACAGTCCAGCTTAGCGCAATGTCTAACACGCAACTGAAGCCATCGCAGTTGCAAACGCCAGGCACAGCTAACGCTTACTAAACTGGATCTTGCGTGCCAATCAGTATTTAATTCACACAAACTTTACTGACCTTTTCCGTTTTCTCACAACTGCATCAAGAATTAATACACCTTTTAACACTCTATCTTCTTGCTTCATCCGTTTAGTCTTTTTCAAACTTCACATAAGAACACTTTTTCCTTTTTTTAAAGTTTATTCCTTTATTCTCACTGTTATTTTACTCAAATGCTTCCTTGCAGGGAAATTCTCTCTTGAGATAAAGCTGTATTCTGCTCTGATATTACAAAAACTTTTACAAATACCATTTCCCCCAGGAGCTTTGCTCTCACCCCAACTGCTGGTTGGTTTCAAAATACCCAGTTACCCTCTCCTCTCCAGACAGAACATGGAATCAATCACCTTCTCCATTGCTCTTCGTTATTGTTCACATACCTTCTCACCCAGCTTTCTCAACAGCAGTAAATCCTAAAGATGCTGACTAATTCTCTCACACTGGAATTCAAGTATAAAATTTAGATGTTGAGAGAAATTTTGCATAAAATAAACAGCAATCCAACCAATACTAAAAAAAGCTTTGAGTATGCACACACAACATAGATGAGAAAAGCTAACGCACTTTTTCCTCCTAGCTTACCTCAAATGTAAAGTTTGTCAACTTACTTGCTCAAATCAAACCAGTATTACACTTTATATGTAAACAGTTAAAAAACCTGAAGAAAAAGAGTTTAGTAAGAGTTTAACTAATAGTAAATTGAATTGCATTCTTCCCGTGGAGCCACTGTCACTCACTTTCAAAAGATGTGTGCATCATGCATTTATCAGTTGCTTTTGTGGCTGTTTTCCTTAGTGGTAGTGAATAAAATAAAATTCATTTCAATCTCAGGTCCTCCAACAAGAGAGAAATTGTACACAAATGTATTTCTTATTAGCATTACCTCATTATATCTGTTGCTAGGAATTTTGATGCTGGTTTTTCTGACTTCCATATCAACCACTAAACCTTGGACCACAGGCAGTGTGTACTGGTAATTTCTGAAGTCCTGGTAATTAAAACAAGTTTTTAAAAGTTAGGTATGACGATCATCATTAACACTGTAGGTTTCATAACTATCCTAACGACTACTAGTTAGCCCATTAAAATAATTCTAATCAGTGACTGAAAGGCAGGGAGAGATGGAGACATCACAGCTTGTAACCTACATAATCGAAGTACGCAAATGAAAAAACATCATCATGACTGTTAGTCATTTCACTGATTTTCTTACATAAAAATTAATATTCTCCAGCCTTGAATGTCATCACTGTATGTAAGAAAACTTGCTCTCCATGTTCTGTTACATTACTGGATTAGTTTTTCTAGCAGTGAGATTAAGTCACGCATCAAAGAGAATTTTCTATATTGAAAGTATTAGCAAAGTAGGAAGAGCTAATAACTTCGCCTCAGTTGAAGAGCTGGGTAATCAGAGAGCTGTGACTGCACACTGTGATGACCTAGCACTTCTGAGGAAGGAATCTGAGCAACTAATGCACTCGTTCCAAGATCCAAACACTCTCAGGTGGCCAAGTTTTGGATGTTGATTTGGGTACCTTGTTACAATTCACTGTGTTGTTGAAAGCTAACATCCACTATCAGTAACAGCAGGTAAATTCACCCAGAAGCCCACTATTTCCTCCTGTCATCTTCTAAGCGTACCAGCTACTATATGCAACAGGAGTACAGTTCTCCCCACATTGATCCATTCACACGGATGCAACATGAAAACTCGGTCTCAGCACTTACTGCAAGAAGGTTCATAATCGTGTGTCCCGTCTCTCCAAACAAAGGCTTACGAAATCTGACACTAAAAAGTGGGCATGGATAAACTAGGGTAAAATAAAACAGAAACAGTCAGTCAGATTGAAATTTACATACTGCGATTCTGCAAAAACAGACTCACATACAATCTCCTCAATTGAATATGGTAAGCAGCAGCAGAAGAAGAGACTGGAAAAAGCAGAGTTTAAAAAGCAAAAGGGAAGAAGGGTTTAACATTATAATGCACCTTACACATGTCTCATGGCTCCTTGCCCACCATGCTAGAAACAATAAGAAGAATTATATGGAATGCTTACAAGTGCCACACTGCAAGACTGAACCTAGCAATCTGGACACTGATGGCAAAGATGACCTTTCTAAATGCTTTTGTCAGGCTATTTCTTGGAAATGGCTTCTTCCTTTTTTATGACCATCCTGCTGCTCTCCACTACAGCATCATAAGCCTTTAGCTTCTGTGGCTGACATGTGACATTCAAGTGATAATACAGATGATTTCATTTTCTGGTTTCAGGATTTCATAAGAATGTGGCAAATTCTCTACAGGAATATGTCAAAAACAATTAAAAGGACATTTATGGTATGTCAGCAATGCAAAATACCTGCATTCCTTTGCTGCCTTAACCATACTTGTAAAACATCTGTGATGCAATTCAAAGTGTAGTGTATGGATCTGGCTGCATTACATTATGTTGCAGCAAAAGCCGTAACAGTGCTTGAAACATGACTCATGCAGTAATGCATAATGCCAAGGTTTTCTACATGCGTGTTTGAAGGAAGATTCCTAAACTATTCTCAGGCAAACACTCAGTCTGATTTCCCAAAATGCCGCACATCATCACAGTTCCCAGTGTAGTCAGAAGCAGCCTCAAAATGCTCAGCAGGTTTGAATAACATCATCATGATTTTCCTTCTGCACACTGATGCAATATCTGCATCACAGCTCCTACACAAGCACTGTACAGCTGACCAACTCGTGCACAGTGTCCTGAGGCACGAAGAAGTGCTGAATTTCCCATGTCTGCCACCCTGGCTGCATACAGCAGCTCAGCTACGTCCCAGATGCACTGAATTCCCTGAGCTTGAGCTGTACGGTTGATCTGCGGATGCTCAGCCGACGTTTTCTGGACATCTGGCAACCCAGAATGACTCCTGCACCTGATCTGCTGCACATCAAGCAGTACTGGACAAATGGCCAAAATCTGACAATACCACCAGAAAAAGAGATGTATCCCAGGAAACCTGGGACACAACTGCAGCGCCTTTGAGGAAGTGACCTGCAGTCACAACTGTCACAGCACAAGTGAATATACCTAAATCCAAACCACAGCTATAGAAGTGATTCAAATCCTGCTTCCCAACATACTCAGAACAGGTACTTCTGTTTGTCAATATCACAACATTTGTTTCTGTGGTCAAATACAAATGTCACATCCAAAATATCAGCATCTATCTTTGTTTTTCTAAATGTCAAGGGAATAAATGCATACCTAAAAAACTCATGGATACACACAAAAACTTACACACCTTTAACACTAATGTTGCTTCAGACAAGTTTAACCTATAGTCCTCATCCTCAGATGGCAAATTTTGAAGATTTTCCTCTCCAGTAACATTGAGAATTTTTCATAAAATACCTATGTTCCCTAAACATCACAAATTAAATTTACAAATTCCTATAAAGCATACTCTAAAACTTATTTTATTAAAAAAGTTCTGAAAAAGGTTTGAAAAAAATTAACAACAGATCATTTTCATAGTAATTCAGATTTAATGTGCCTATTAAAACAGCAGATAAGCAAGACACCAAATTTCTGGCCCATCATGGTAGACAGACTTCCAATAATCTCTTTGCTCCAGCGATGGCAAGTGTCTTTTTCAAAAGACTTTATCCTAACTTTATGCTAATTTCATGCTAACTGCTAGATTTTGTTCAGCTAAAACACTCTCTCCGGCCTGTTTGTTACTTGTTGCTACAGAATTTTTGCAACAAACTGCCACATCAGTTGCCCCTGCACACATATTGTTTATCCTCTGGAAAATTAGGGTGGTTTTAAAAACCTAAAAGCAAACGCTCCTTCATTTCAGCAGGGAAAGAGCTTAACATCTCAAAGGCTCTCCCTTATCCTACACCAGCTAAATCAGATGTGTTCTGCACATAACTCTCAGGCCACTAAGTGAACTACAAGCAGCTGCTCAGAACTCGATTTGTCTCCACAAAATTCTCCCTGATCAACCAGTACAGTTGTAAAAAGGCTACAGGTCATATCACAACCTCAAGTACTGCAGTGCTGTTAGTTGGATGCAATGTGGGTATGAAACACAATTTTTACTTGCCTGTTTAAGCTTGTGTGGCTTTGACAGGTAACGATTTAGGGCTGGGTGTGCGTGCTCTAAACCGGAACATACTCTCCTGCAGAAATAATTGAAGCTAAAAGAACGCATGGTTACTTACGTCTGTATTCAGCTCCGAGTCTCAACATCAGCCGAATGGGGAACACTTTAGCCCAGGGAGTCTCCCATTTCTGAATGAGGATGCCAAACAAGTATGGTGGGGTTGGGAGCACCAGGTCTTGCAGGGACTGATACGTAGCTGCAACATATAAGAATCCTCCATGCTCTTTGCTTCCAAGGAAGCTCTGGCTGAAAAAGGAGTGTCCCAGGTTGCCAACAACGTTACCTATGAACAAAAATGCTCATTACTTCACTAGATTGAGACCTAGATCAAGAATGTAAAGACTTTTTCAGAAGGGAGAAAAAAATACCCGTATTAAAATCACTTTGCTTCCTGAAGCATTAATGTCTATTAAAGAAAATGATTTGCTGCACACGGGGGCTCAGGTTACCTCCTGTGCAGAAGTGTGTAATCTGTTATGGAATAACTGCTGTAGACTAGAGCCACCAAAGCCATGGTATCTCCGGTTGATCCACCTCTGGTGATATATGTACTCAGTGACTATCACTGGTAGGCAGTCAGTTTTGTAGGAACATGCACACATACCTTCATTTCTGCACCTGACTGACTTAGCCATGCCTGCAAGTGTCACCAGGACAGTACATACAGCCACAGACCTACCACGTCTCCTGGGGGAACAGGGAGGGAGACTAGCCTCAATCATTTCTGTGATCTGCCTGTTTCACGGAGATCTGCCTGTTTCAAGTAGCAGAGGCAGTGTAACGGAGGGGATGATGCATCCTGGGGATAGCCAGGGAAGAGGAAAGATAGCTCAGGCCAGTATTGCTGCTAAGGAAGTGGTACCTGCAACCTCCCCCTAGCCAAAAGCACTCAAAGAAAGCCTGTTTTCAGTGTCTTCCAGATATTCAAGGGGCTTCCACTGCAGAAGCTGCAGCTGACCAAACTAAACTTTTAGACTCAGCTGCCATTAAAGGAAAGATGTGCACCTGGTCAAATAATGCCCACTGGTTGTCCTTCCATTTAGGCAAACCACCAGGGTGCCTGCTCAGACACATGTTGAAGATCTGTGTCATTTTAAGAATTACACAAAACACTGTTTATTTAATTAGTATACTTAATGTAAAAGGCAACTGAGAGAGACACAGGGGAGAAACATCACTAATTTTTACTCACATTTTTACTCTTTAATGCTCTTAATTTCCAAAAATGTTTACACTGGAACGGCTGAATGAATCTGAATGTTGATTAGATTATTATAGCATCCAACATAGCATTTAACATTGAAGCAAAGAACCATGGTGTGATTCCTTTTATCAAATGACAACAACAGCATGCAAATAATGTACAGAACAGTTGATCACAATTCTCCATAGGAAGATGTGAATATTAATAGTGCTGATTTGCTCTCAAAGAAAAACAGAGTCATTTCAGGGAGCACAGTGTGGTTGATCACACCACTGATGAGGAATCACATGGGTTTGAGGTACTCATGCAGACCTCCTGGGCCACTGCAGTAATACCAGGCTTTCCCACCTGCAGACCAAGAGACTGCTAAGTAGGAGTTCTTTCAAGTCTGTCCTTTATGCTGAACCCCTATGAAAGTCCCAAATCTCCATGAAGCCAGCGCCGGCATTAGAATAATACCAGCTATCCCTGCCCTCACTCCAGAGACATGGCCATGCTACTTTGCATCCCTCCAGACCACCTTGGCACAATCACCACCAAGTATTGCTTCCTTCACATGACCTTGGGACCTCCAGCTTTAAAATACAGCTACTGGCAGGTCTGTAAACAAAAGGTTCCATTTATGCTCTAACAAGTAAGTTCAGGGATTTTCTTTCTATTCAAATTTGTGGGCACCTTAGTGGAATTTGTTTTTTTCTGCACCCACAAGGTGCGGCACAAACTACATTCTCAAGTTCTCTTTTAAAAGGTGACAGGCTTTGGCAGCTGTGGCAGGGTGCAGCTTGTTCATAGCTTGCCACTATCCTGCAAAGCTACAGATACACACAAGCCAGAGCTGACATCATCAACCCAGATCAAATTCCAGCACTCTTAGAGTGGCTACAATTTCTGTAACACTCAGCTGGGCATACTTGATGAAAAGTAGCTACTGGTCAAACTGAAGGACAATAGAACCACATCAAACATTGTCAGCTGCTGAAAATCATTGATCCTGCCCATGTGCAAATTCATTTCTCTGTCAGCCTGTGCTGTGACACTATTGCCTGCTCAGTGAATACACTGCTAACGCACCAACTCAAGCATCTTGCCAGTGAGTGCAAACCAATGTTATCAATTGATGTTCATAAATTTCAAGATTTTCTCTTATCTAAGATACCTGCTGGCACCTTTCTATCTCAACTCCACTTGTTTGCTTTTGCAGTTCCCACCTACCTTTACTAATCTCCTCTTCTTCATTTATACTTCCTTTTTCCCTTCTGATCTGTTCTTACCCAAATAGAAGCTACAGGCCTGATAGTAAAATTACTTGGTGAGGTATTTGGTTCCAACAACACAGCCATAATAATCCTTTCTAACCTTAAAATGCATGAAGTGTATGAACTGCTAAACTGAACTGAATTCTGCACCCTCTTCTGTGTGAAAGAGGCTAGGCAAAGTGAAGCTGTGCAATACCATATAGTTCCAAGCTGTGCAGTACTGCCCACTGGGATGACAAAGCAATCAGACATTTCCACTTGTGACTGATGCCAAGCGCTGCAGCAGAAGGGGACAACTACTTATTTTTTCCGTTTCAGGAGATGCGGCTTCAAGGCTCACATGCTTAGGATGCCTTAATAAGAGTTTTTTCAGCCAACAGAAACATGAAAAAAAACCTCAGAGTGAAATCTGAAACTCAGCTGTTGAACACTTTGCTACCATAAGCCACAGCGTTGTTAAGTTACTCCTTTTGACACAAGCAGCTCGCACGGTGCAAGCTCCAGTAAGTTACCACTATTAAGAGCACAAACTGCTGGGATTAGGTAGTTGTGCTGCAATTCATTATTTATAAGAACATGCAAGAGCCTGCTATGTGGAGAGCATGAGAAGAATCAAGTATTTTCCTACCCACCTCTCTAGTGCCCTTTTCAACCAGCAAACTGAAGTCAAAAATCCTCTCTGGGCTATGGGCTTGTGCCACAAACATTTCAGCACTGACCAGAGGTTGTCAGTCTTTCCTGCCACATCTTTGAAGGTGGTTACAAGTCAAGGCCCCACTGATAAGTTGCTATTACCAACTTGACATGGTCAAACCCAACTCACTGCACCGTTACACATTTTAAGCATAGAACTGTGTTTCAGAGGCTTGTAGAGAAAGTGTAGCTGTCAGAAAAACCTTCCAAAAAAGCTATCCTTCTCAAAAGCATGTTATTTAATTTGCAAAATATCGCAACTTCCTTTATAAAGAGGTAATCTCAGAGTAAACAGAAAGGTGCCCTTCCTTACATTAAGTTCCAGCACCTGACATCAGACAATTGATACTATTTAGGAAGTGCCTTAAGTGTGCATGCTTCTCAATTAATGCTGGGTTACCCTTGACTTTAAATCCTAAGCAGCTCTATAAAGCCCTTTAAAAAAACATGCTTTTATCCACTGATGTGACTTTCTTTCCAGTCATGATCCATGCTGGTTTGAATTCTTCACTTTGGTATCCTCCTCTGATGCACAGTGAACTTTGCATATCAGTTTGGCAATCCATTCTGTACTCAAGTAAAATCGTTTATACCAGGAAAGGTAGAGAAAAAGATTCCTGCGTTTATCGCCCTCAATATGTGGCGAAGCCTCTTAGGTGCTTTTACCAAAAAACAGTGAGGTTAAATTCCTAATGTATGCTTCATATCTTTTGGTTAACCCCAGGTCAAAAAGCTGGTGCTAGCATCCAATCTCAGGGAAGGCACACATACATGGCTTGGGGAAGTTAGCTGCACCCATCCAGCCTCATCCCACTGTCATCAGTAATAACCAAGAACTGCCGAGTACCAAACACCTTGCCAGCATCCTGGAAACCCCGGCATCCTAGTTCTGTAGCAAGAGATGCAAATCAATATTCACCTGGCAACAATCTTGCCAGATGATTTTTCTTCAAGAGCAAATAAGCACATACTCTTTGGAAAAGCAATACAAACCCTGTCAACCACCACACCAAGAGCCACAGGGAGACACAGAAGAGACAAGACCATGAATGTAACTTGATGGCACAACGCATCTGTAGCAGATGCCAACATCGAGAAAAAACATGTGAAACTCAACATTCAAAGTTCTGACCATACTCAGCATCTTTTTATTGCAACACATCAGCAAATAATTTGGAAAGAACTTACTCATATTGGCAAGGGACATAATGCTTCACTTACTATCACTGTGAGTAGCAGTTACCAGCATCCAAAACATCCTCAGACTAGTCTGTGGCAGTCTTCCAAACAATCGCTCTCACACCTTAGATGATGTTTGATTTTGTATCCATCTTTCCACGTTACACTTACAGGGGTGTATTATTCACTCACTCACAGTTAACCTGTTCTCTGTTCAGAACACCTACATGGGCTTCTTTATAGAGCTACTCTGTATTAGCTAGCACCTTACTTAATTAAAACCAGGCTGGGTAAAAACCACACAAAACTGTGACTGGCAGAGATCCAACATCACTCGAAATATCCCCAAAACCAGGGTGATCACAAAGACATTTCAAGCGGTTGCCAGATTTGCATTTTCACTACAAAAGTAACAGTAGCATTTATTGTATTCCACGAAAGAGTTGATGCACTAGGGCATATTTGGCAGCTCTATATTAACACATCCAATTGCTTCAAAGTGCCCATTCAGACGGACAGAAGTTCTCATTTTTCCATTCACTAGACCTCCTGCCAGGCTTATAGCCAACAGACAAGGATAATCATGGGATTACTACTACAACAGTACAACTACTACAACCGCAACAGAAATCATTAGCTTTCAATTTCAAAACAAGAAAAGCACCACAGCAGGGAGCTTGATGACATGAGGGGCCAGAGGAAAAATAAAGTGATGAAAACTGAACAGCAATTAATACTTGCCTTAATTAACAACTGTGCAATTTATTATAACTTGCATGCATACAACCTGTAGTAAAAAATGCCATTTTTCCTCCAAAATCTCTCCATTGTTTTACAATTATGAAGTCCTAACACCAGACTATAGCTTGAGGTTCAAGACTTCCCGTAAGAAAACTCATGAAGGCTCAAAGCGGTGCTGCACCAGGCTGACATCTTATCTGTGCTGCAACAGGAGATGAATCTGAAGGACAAACTGCAAAGTGTTGAGTGTACAGACTAAATGCTCCTGCCTGCAGGTCTGAGGCCTGGGCTCTGCTGCTGCTACTTGCACATGTTAGAACCATACTCTGCAAATGGCTGAGAGCAATACCTAGCACAGAGGACAGGACTCGGCCTCAAGAAGCAAGTTATCCTCTGAGGAAAGCAGAAACATCTGGGAAGAGGCATGAGTACATACAAGTTTGTGCTTCTATGCTTGAATGCAGAATTCAAACTTGAGCAAGAAGAGCTAGTAAATAAGTGTGAATCATGAAAAAAATGCTACAGATATGGGCTTTAATAAAATAAACAAAAGGGGAATGCTGTATTTTTCATCTGAAAATAAAAACAACAAGAAACCCAAAATCACTCCAAAACAAAATCAACATCCACAGAATTTCAGTGTCCTGATGGCAAAATAAATTTAAACCAATATATTAGTGGTTCAATTTTTTGATTAAAAATCAAACCATGAGGCAGGGTTTTAAATAGTCTCTACTTCTAAAGGGAATTCTTGTTTACCCTAAATGTCTATCTTCTAATTGCCAGGAGAGGTGCAGCACCTCTGAAATGAACAACTTTGGAAGCGTGGTTCCATCTACAACAGCATGAAAACTGCTAACCACTTCCAAGGGATTACAGCCACCAAACCGAAACCCCTGCAGCTCTCTGGCTGAATCATGTTCAGAACAGCCAGAGCTGCAAATATGCTAATATCTACTTCTCCCTCTCAAACACACATGACTGGGAAAGAAAAACAGATGGATATTGAGAGTGCATTACAAAATGCAAAGGGAATTTATCAAGGTGCTATGTTCTACAAAAACTTCAGTGCAGTTTGGTAGTACATAGAAATTCAAGGTGCCTATCTGCTTCTGCTACATGTCTGAAATACAACACAGAGCAAATCCTACCAAAAGAACATTACAGAGTGGAATTCTTAAACAGTGAAATTTGGTTTCTGATTAAGAATTGTACAATAGTAAGGACCTCTTTGCACCAGTGCAACTGCAGGATATCAAATTACTACCACTAGAGCACTAAAAAAAGAATTCCAAATACATTATGTAGGAGTGATAAATTATGTATTTCTGTAGTGTAATTATACAGAATTTCATTGCAATATACACATCAAGCTGGATTTAGATCTGCAATACATATATATATCTCTACACATGCACACACAATTTTTCACATCTATCTCCCTCTGAATAACATCATCATTAGAAGATAAAGCATAGCAAATGAAGTGAGGTTTGGAAAAGTGTTTGTTTCCAGTGTACATGAGATCCATTATGACATGTGATTATAGTACATTCTGAACGAGGCAACCTCTCTGGACAAGCTGACCTTTGTTGCACCAAGACATTTTAGGAAACAAAGATTTTTTTCATTATTTTATGAAAGTGTCGGATTCAGTTACTCCAAAGGCATTGCAAATGATATGTAGAATCCTTCGTAAATGTATTTTCAGTATACAACCTTAATGTGATCCAACTAGCTTTACTTTCTAATCAGTGGAACCAAATACTTGCATTTTTCCTTATGCAATAATTTTTAAATTCTAAGGTCCAATGATAGCTAAGAGTGGAAGCCCATTTACTCGGCAAATGTAAAACATGTAAAGGTTTACATAATACAATCTCACAATTGAGATACTAAAATGCAAAATTCAGGGATAATTTCTGCAATGTCCTACAATTCATTCCAAGCACACATATACATATATATTCGTATTACTTGATAATATAAATAGGATCTCCATAATGTGGCAATAAACACACACACTGTGGGAATCAAATTTCTGAAATACTTGGTTTGCGGATATTTAACATACTACCCACAAGAATTCTCAAAATTTTCTTTATCTTTAAAAAAGCTACCCTGACTTCAAGCTGAAAAAAAATTAGAAGCAATGTCATTAGTGTACCCATGAGCCCTGCTGAGTATCCTACTACACTCGCTGCTAAATGAAGTACAGTACTAATTTCAGATGTACTTAACCCAGTGCTTAGCAGAAGCAGTCAGCGCAAACATTCAGCAATGGCTGCTGAACACAAAGCTGTCACAGGCAGAGTCCTCCTGCTCCATTGCTGCAATAGTCTATGCATGGCTTTTATAGCGCAAACTTCTTTCTTCTGCTGGCACCCAGAGGAAGGCTGGAAGATCTTTGGAACAGCTCCCCAAGTTACCAGCATCTCATTAATACTTCTATTTGATAAGATGAATATACCACTGGGTACTAATAACCAGTAACAACTAAGCCCCCTATCAGCTTTGATCCTTATTCTCTTTTTATATTCTTTTATACAAAAATAGCCATTTGCTAAATGACAAAAATGTGAGTATCTGACCCAGTATGATCATCTATGCAAACCGTTTCTAAGAGAGAGCATTCCTACCTGCTAAGGCATCCCGGTAAAGTTGCACAAAATGGTTAAAGATATCCTTAGGCAAACATTTCTCATCAGGCAAACACTGCAAGAGAATGACTATCTCTGATTGCCCCACTGCGTGCATGCCTTTTGTAGTGAAACACCAGCACTTCCTGTTCACATCTGCAGGGAGCAAAACATGTATTGGAACAGATGATCAGAATTTCATAAAATATCCCTAGATTTCACTACAGGAAGATAGCTCTTTCAAGAATCAGTTTTACAGCATGTTTCGTTGCGATATCTGTCACACAGACAAATTAGGTTCAAAATCCATTACCTTGCAAGCAAGCACATCCAAAACAAAAGCAGCTCAGTAATTCACAGTTTACAGCTAAGGAAGAACCAGAGCATTACAACTCCCAGTCAGATCTTAACACTACAGAGCAGACTTTTAGCAGTTTCTGTATCCAAATTAAAGGCCAGGATTTAAATGGGAATGAAGGAACCTGGGAAAAGGCCAGGCTGTTGGCTGTGCATATCATGATCCTGACAGCTAAACCAGTTTCAAACATCTCTCTCTCTCAAGATGGATAGCTGGATGCCAGGTGTTTTCATGAGACGCCACTGTTGTTCTGCTTCACATGAGTGTTAGAGATGACACATGCTCTAAGCTTCACAATTCATTTGTTGAGAATACTAAGTTATTAAAATTGTTCATCTAATACGTGTGTATATATATATATGCATACTAAAGACATTTTTATACATACATAAAAAATTGTACTGCTATCTAACCAGATGCTGAAAGGTTTATAAATATCTGAATTTATTGTATGAACTTTTCACAGAACGAAAACATTTACTGCAAAACTGTTGTTCTCAATTTCTCAAGTAACGTCTTCTTATCCGACAGAGATCAACTGAGGTACTAACATGAGAAGTCATCTATATGCCTCACCATTCATTCCTCCTTCAGGACATATACACACACACGCACACATGCACAGTATAGAAAAGGATAAAAGAGGTGCACAGTGGAACGGAACCTGTGCATTACTATGGGATCCTATCTGCTTTTTCCAGAATGGGATGACAAGGAAATGAGTTAATCAACCAAAGGAAGAACGAGTGATAAAATACCTTGCCCTACCAAGTTGGACAGGAGACACTTATCTCCAGGCCTGAGACTGGAGGCTCTATCAGTCTAGTTTATATTTTCTGAAAAAATAGCACTGGAAAAGAGCCTTTAATAATTTAATGCAGTGTGGCTAAGTAGTACATTTTCAATCCATGCACATTTTCAGAGACTATCCTACCAAATAAAAATGCCACTGTTCATACTAATAATATATATAACATTTCCCCTCTCATACCCCAAGCCTTATTTGATAATAAAAACTTACAATTTACTATTTTTACCATGGACAGCAAATTAGCATTTAAAACAAATACAAGAGGGTCAGGGCCACCATCCTCCAGCTGCTGCATGACAGAGATCTGCGAAGGTCTCTCTTCTACAGCGTAGTCTATGAAAGAAAAAAGTAAACACAGAGTGAAGTCCTTAACTTACTGGTACAGTACTCTGCATTATAATCAGATAACCCCAATTCTGATGCTTTTTGCTGTTTTGATCTTTTTAAAAAAACTTATTTAAGTACAGCTGATTTGCTTGATTGTTTCCTAGGCTGGTATTTTCAAACTTCAGTATCACTTATGTGCGTAACCCCTGTACATCCTTTAGAAAAGTGCAGCTTGTTTTATAAATCAACTTTTTTTTTTGTATCAACTGGAGGAGAAAATGGAAATCAAATTGAGAAATGTGTCATGGTGTCAACTGAAATCCCAAATGACAAAGAAGTTAACAATAGTTATTTAAATCACAGTAAAGCACAAGAACATCAGTCCTGCACTACAAACACCAACACATGGTCTATCCTGGTGTCATGTAACTTACACTTTCTGTGCATTAGCTGCTATTAAGATAACAAACAGGGGAAAACTATATAAAACATTTTTTTAATAAATCATAGAAGGTCTAAATACAGTGTAAAATGGATCCCAACAGGAAACTGCAAATATGTCTTTAGTGTCCCTCTATGATTAGACCCAGATGACAACTAGCAAATTAAAATTTCTCATCCATGTGATTATAATCTACTCTGCATTTAAGCTTTAACAAAAAATAGTTATACTGATGAAAAAAGATTTTAAAAGAAATGTATTACTTTTCCAGCTAAAACTACCTAGGAAGAAAGGTAATTTTGCTTTCTAATGTGAAAAATGTTTTTGGAATCTTTTAAAATAGAATTAGAATATCAGAAGTAAAATGCTGCACAGAAAATCCAATATGTGACAGCATATGAAACAAAATCAACTTAGCATAAAAAATACGATTTATGTGAGGTTATCTATATAAAAGCTGAAAAGTATACTGTAGTTTCACTCCTTTTTTGTGGAGGAAACTGAATAATCAGGCACCCACATGAACAGCTAAGACAGGATGGAACAGATTTGTTTTGAAGTCAAATGCTCACATTTTGGTTTTGACACTATCCTTCAATAAAAAGTTACTTCCAGCTTAACATTAGAAATGCACTGTATCAGCAAAATATTTAATAGGAATAAAAAAATGTCTATGTCTATCTGGACTTCTGTAAGGCCTTTGACATGGTCCCCCAAAACATCCTTCTCTCTAAATTGGAGAGATATGGATCTGATGGGTGGACTGTTCAGTGGATGAGGAATGATTGCATTCAGAGGGTAGTGGCCAATGGGTCACTGTCCAGATGGACATCAGTGACAAGTGGTGTCCCTCAAGGGTCCGTATTGGGACCAGTACTCTTTAATATCTTCATCAATGACATAGACAGCGGGATTGAGTGCACCCTCAGCAAGTTCGCAGACGACATCGAGCTGAGTGGTGCGGTTGACACGCCTGAGGGATGGGATGCCAACCCGAGGGACCTGGACAAGCTTGATGAATGGGCCCATGAGAACCTCATGAGGTTCAACAAGGCCAAGTGCAGGGTCCTGCATCTGGTTCGGGGCAACCCTCGGTATGAATACAGGCTGGGGAATGAAGGGATTGAGAGCAACCCTGCTGAGAAGGTCTTGGGGGTACTGGTGGATGAAAAGCTGGACATGAGCCAGCAATGTGCGCTTGCAGCCCAGAAGGCCGACCGTATCCTGGGCTGCATCCAAAGCAGCATGGCCAGCAGGTCAAGGGAGGGGATTCTGCCTCTATACTCTACTCTTCTCTGGTGAGACCCCACCTGGAGTACTGTGTCCAGCTCTGGAGCCCTCAGCATAGGAAAGACATGGACCCGTTGGAATGAGTCCAGAGGAGGCCACAAAAATGATCACAGGGATGGAACACCTCTCCTATGAGGACACACTGAGAGGGTTGGGGTTGTTCAAGCTGGACAAGGGAAGGCTCCGGGGAGACCTTACTGCAGCCTGCCAGTACTTCAAGGAGGCTTATGAGAAAGATGGGGACAGACTTTTTAGCAGGGCCTGTTGCAACAGGACAAGGGGTAATGGTTTTAAACTAAAAGAGGGCAGATTTAGACTGGATACAAGGAAGAAATTTTTCACAGTGAAGGTGGTGAAGCACTGGCACAGGTTGCCCAGAGAGGTGGTAGATGTTCCATCCCTGGAAACATTCCAGGTCAGGCTGGACGGGGGGGCTCTGAGCAACCTGATCGAGTTGAAGTTGTCCCTGCTCATTGCAAGGGGCTTGGACTAGATGACCATGAAAGGTCCCTTCCAACCCAAACCATTCTATGAGTCCATAAAAAATCAAAACTGAAAAAATAATCCTAGGAATGTATTAAAGGATGTCATGAATCTGACTGTGGAAAGCAACTATCAGATAAACAAATACATACTTTTTTAAACCTTTTAAAAATTGGTTTTTAATTTTCTCAATCCTCCTCCATTTGGATACTCTGGGAGGGGACATCACAATTACTAAAAGCTTCACTGTGGGCCAAGATGTGCAATAGTGCTGTTGAAAGCAGTGCTCGGGGATGCCTCAGATGGAATGGATGTTCCAAGAGAATTTCAGAGAAGGGAAGCATGAATATTCATAAGGCTAATTAAAATGTATCTCTGTGTGAAACATTCCCTACAGTCAGATTAGTGAAGAAATTAGCACATATTTCTGGACTGAAGTTAATTTTCTTTTTGCTTTGTGTTTCACTTCTTACAGTAATTCCATTGCAAGACGGGGTTCTTCCCGGATGCTAATAAGGATCAATCGTGCAAATAAGTGTCACAACATTTAGCCATGAGTACTTTGTGAATTTCTTCCAATATTGCCAGCATCTTATTTTTAAAATAAACACAGTAACTATTAGGTTAATTGCAACTGGTAAGCATAAAAGCTAGCTGCCAAATTATACCCTCACCTCCTTTTACTCCAGTGGAGATGAGAATTGGGGGAAGACCATCTTCAGGAATTAGATTCATTGCACTGCCAACAGGACTGCCAACCTGAGTTATATTACCCGAGAATACAGAAGCATTATCAGCCTACAGGAAGCAAACAAGAAAGGACAACATTACAAAAGTAATAATGATAAAAATGTAAGAGCTGGCTGACTAGATTACTAGATGTAGGTGAAGGAGTCTGTGCCTGCTGAAGAACCAGAAGCACCGAGTTATTTGGCTCTTTAACAATAGATGATCATGTGATGACGCCTGTATGTGAACTATTACTAAAAAGTCTGTTTAGAGAGAGACTGCATCTCCCTTCTCTAGCACCACACATACCCATTTCTTTACAAAATCTAAATGTACCTATGCCCATCTCAGCTTTTTGCAAAGTCTCCATTCCACCCACATGGAAGTGAGGATATGGTGGATTTACATGGGGCATGGTGGATTTAACATTGTTAGATTGTATCTGCACTTTCCTGCATACATCGTTTTATGAGAAGTGTCAAACAAAGTATTTTTCTGCTTTGTGCTATGACAACCTTATTGTTTCAAACCCCTTGCTGACTGTGACTCAGCTTTTTCAAAACATGCATTACACACATATCCTTCATACACAGCCTGTACAGCCTAACACTTGGAAGCCATCGAGCACACAGACTTCAAACATCACTTATTGCTCTGCCCCATAATAGATTATTTCAGTTCAAAATACATGGTTGTTTCAGCACTCTGCAAACATTAAAATAAGTGAGGACACTTGCTATACAACATACTAAGACAAGCCTCAACAGATTTTCTAGATCAGTCTTACTGAAATCACCACAGAAGCTAATATACTATTCATGACCAAAGCAAGCATAGTGTTTTGAGTGGTGAATAGCGTAACACTTCCTTACTTCTGCTGATAAAGTGTTGTTGGTCACAGTCTTTGATGGATCATGAGACACTGCTAAGGTTCCTGTGGAAGTTGTCCCAGCCACTGTCAGTTTTGCTGCATCGGCAACTTCTCCATTGGGTAATATGCCATCAGCAAACCAAACACGTCTTTGTTCTCTAGGTTGAGCCACTAGAGAGAACAACAAAAAATAGGATTTAAGATCTCACAGCAACATTGACTGGAAAATTTGAGTACAGAAGAGCAAAAGAGAAAAAAAAAATAAATAGAGAAACGTGGGGTGGAAGGCCCTTAAGACATCATGTAGTGCATTCCCTATGGCAGCATCACGTACAAACACATCTGCTGAGAACAGTTTACTTGTCCTTAAAAACCTCATATCCCTACTGAGGGCAGGAACGTTGCAATTGGCATTAGCTAGAGTATTTGGAATGGATGAAATGCAGATATTCTTTCCAAGCTCTTATCACAGGTAAAGAAAAAAGAAGTACCCTTACCTTCTGCTCCAGGATGCTTTAAAACTCCCACAGGTACCATGACAGTGGGAGGCGGAGAGCTCAGGGCACCTGAGGCCTGAGCCTGCTGCAAAGGAGGGATAGTAGAACAGTATTCAGCGGGATTGTTAGGGTTAGGACTCTGGCTTGAGGCACTCATCATGTTCTCCCAGGCTTGAGCTAAAGCAAACAAAGAACAAGAAACATGAGCACAGAAGAAGGTGTCTAACAGTCCAAAACACTGTGTTAAGTTCTCAGCTACGGTAAGTATGGACCCTGCTACCTCCCAAAGACCATCTCTCTTCCTCTATTTAAAAGCCCAGGAGACTGTAATTAAGCAAGAAAATGTACAGCAGGAGGAGAAACAGCACTGGTCCTGTGCAATAAAAATATACGTTCATTTGAAATATTTCCTGAAAATTATAACAATACACTGGCCTGAATGACATTTAGGTCCTCATGCTTCATTTTGTTTCTTCAAAGATTTAGCTTAAAACACTCTTATATACATGTATATTTATCACATTGCACGGGCAGATGGACATTCCTATTACAAATGCTTTATAACCTAGAGGACACTTGAGCAGATCTATCTTTTGTATATGACAAAAAGCATCTTGCATTTCTTTATATCCAGAGCAGAGCAGTACAGTTCAACAACTGAACTATAATTTAACTCTTAACTTTGAAAAAACCCATATGCTATTAGTTCTGAAGGCATGACTTGAGCCTTAATTCAATTGCCCAAACAATAACACATTAAACTTCTTTGTCAACAACATCCATCAGAGGGAAATCTCTCTTCTAGCTAGTGAAACAGACTATCTCCACAGTACTACTTCTTTTTAATCTTAAGAAAGGCTTGTAGCTATGCAAGGTACCAGAAAACTTAGATGTGTGCTTGCACCTTCAGCCATATTGGTATGTTACAAATAAATGCATTCCTCTAGTCAGGCATAAATATCATGCCACCTAACCTCTCAGAGCAGCTATAAAGCCTGAATAAATCACGTACATCTTTGGGCTCCTTTGGCTATGAATTGTCAGAAAACCAAGGTGAAACTAACATGATCAAAAAACCCCAAAGAGAACATAACAGAACATAAACCACTCCTGCTTCCTCCCATCAACCTGCAAAACCAATAGACCGAAATGTCTGCCAGTGGAAAACGTATTAACATTTCCATTTGAGAAAATTAATTAAATGGAAGTATTTTTAAACAGCAATTCTGTATTCATTTAGAGTATTCACTCTCCTTCCTGGAAGAAGGAAGTGTTAAAAATGCACAAAGAAAAGTTACATCTCTAGGATCGCTTTATTAGTAAAGCCATAGCGTGGTAAAAGAGTTTTTTTAAAGCCTTCCCTAAAACAAGCAAAGTGCCAAGTCAGCATATCTACCAATTGAAAATATAGTAAAAATAGCATTGGAAACATTAAACACACAGCCTGGTCGTGGAAAAGTGCCAGAAAACATACAACCCTCCCCCCACATCTCAGTGAAACACAGACCAGATACCAAGCAACCAAATGAAAAAACTACTTTTAAAGTGTGATTCCTACCCCCGGTTCCAAGACTGTGCAAAGATTAATGCTTAACCTGCTGCACTGAGTGGAAAAAAACCCAACAACTTGTACCAACAAAGAAACTGCGAGGATCAGGAGGGATCAGATGCAATCAGGCTACAGGTTAACTAACTGGTGACCAAAAGCACCATCACAAAGCGCTGCAGCAGGGATAGAAACAGAGAGGTAGCCCGGGGCAAATACACCTAAGTATGCAGGCAGCACTCTCCCTATAATAAACCAAGCACTGGTGTCACTGTTCACTGCCATTGATGTGTATCCGTCCTGGCGACAGGACAGAAAGGCTTTTAGAAGGAAACCATTATAATATGATCAATTTTATTACACCTTTTTACAAGAACACTTCTGGTTTCAACTGAAATATTTTCTGATTCTTTCCTTTCCCCAGATGAAAACAAATCCTACTCACCACCAAAAGGAGCCAGATGTCTTTTGCCAGGTGTATGCGCAATTCCTTGTTCTTGTACACCTTGAAATGTGGTAATTTCTCCATCTCAAAATGTAACATTTTAGCACCCCTTCAATGTCATCATCAGGACTCCATTTTAATTTCTAGATATTACAATTTCCTGTCACCTTACACATTTGGCCTACAGTAAAGAACTATTAATAATTAAAACCTACCACTTCACACTGATTAATCTTTAATCTTTTATAAATTGAAAAAAAAAATTCCTGTTTAATAACAGAAACTGTCTACTAATTTTGCACGCTCATCTCAAGACTAGGCACTCGGTTACTTTCAACCAAACCTGCATAATACTGAACTACTTTGGAGGGAAAATATAACCTATAAGCTTCTAAGTTTAGTTAGATGCTCAACAAATTAACAGATCTTTCTGAAAACAGCAGCCCAAATAATCTACTATACCATGAACACGTAAAGATACTGTCAAAATTACCTTGTCTGAATGCTGACATAAACCAGAATTCTCCTAACAAATTCTTGGTTAAAACTACAGTAGCAATCTTCTATGAAAGTCTCCAAAGTTTAACTAAATATTTGCAGCAAAGAGGATTCCATGATAAGTGTTCAATAATTATCAGGATAGTTAGTCATCCTAACGGTTAAAAGTTTGCATTTAGAACCTGAATTTGTCTGACTTCTCATTCTACCCACTACATGTTCGAGTGCACCTGTCAGACCTTCCTCTACAATGCAAGCAACTTCTGTCATCAAGTTTCAGTTATCCAGATATATATTTATACCCCAAGATCAGGTCACCTATTGACCTTTCCATTAATAAACCAAAGACAGAATGCCTGGAATGTCTCATGATGAGACAGGTTTTCTCATGATTTAAACACTTACATGGATCCTCTCTCAACCTAATCCAATTTTTCTACCTTCTCAATTCAAGCCATAAAAACTAAACATCGAGTCTTTCAGCAACAGCTGTCTCAGTGTCATGGAAATAAGTCAGCTGGACAGCATAATTACCCAAAGGTAACTGCCAGCTCAGGAAGTTCTTGAAATTTTCAGAAGCCTCAAGACACAGTGGGAAGAATACTCTGTGTTTGCCCATATTTACACCACTTATCTGAAGTGTTAATACTATAAAGGACAAAATACAAAATGCATTCCATGGACCATCGGCACAGTCTTTCCTTACACCAAGCAAAAGTAATATAACTTCTTGTTTGTTCTATTTGTTAACTTTGTCACTCTTGTGACCTCTCTCATATGTCCCAGGTTCGCATCAGGCTTTTAGCCACAGCACCATCCTGGCTTTGACAGACTCTCCAGTAACGTGCCCAAAGCAATAATCCAAACTCAGCTGTCCACATTTGTGGACAAGTTTTTAGCTAGGAGCACCTACTCTAGCACCAAGGAGTTACGGAAGAAGAACAGTTGGATTAATTTCTGGTTAAATACTAGTTTCACAGTTTCCTATAGTGCATAATCTAGAAGAGGCACAACTACATTACTCTTCTCTTTGGCACTTCATACAAAAGTGTAACAGGTTATCTGCTCAGGCATCAAAGGACAGACAGTAAGCTCCTGAGGTAAAAACGAACAAGTAAACAAACAAACAAAAAAAAAAACCACCCACACAAAAAAAAAATCACAGTTCCTGCAATCTTGGTATAGGGCTCACAAATGAAAGCTTTCAAACTCAATAAAACCTTACCAGTTTTTGCATTTTGTTAATTATATTTAGTGTAGGAATCCCCACTCTCCACAGAGATTCCATGCTGATCTCTCAAGGGCCTTTGCTGTTTTAGAATACTTACCCACACAAATAAAAGTATTTAGATTTTTTTTTTTTTAATAGCATCACTGTAGCTCAGCACAAAGCCAGTGAAGCACTGCAGCTGAGATTCTCTTTCCACGTACCATTCATTAGTACCGAATGGCAGATTACACACACTCTAGCTTCCTTTCGATCCATGTACAGTAACTTGCACTTCAGGCTACAGCATGCTGCGCAAAAAACCTGGAACCAAAGGGGAAACAACTTCAGTAGTGTTCAAAAATATGTGATGAGCTGATGAATTCAGACAAGAGAATATCCATAAAGCTCTAGACATGCAAAATAAGGAGGTAAATTATCAGTATTTTTCCATTAAAGCCACAGTGACTAACACCTGCCCAGGGTGCTTTTCCTACTTAATCCTGATGAAGCAGTATTATGTGGAACACATAAATGCATGTTGTCCTGATATTGCATGGTGTTTTTAAAGTGTCTTTGGCATAAATGACAATGGGTTAATAAATTCCTACCACTTTAAAATCCCTCACAGACTTAACAACTTGGAATTTATTTCAGTCTTAGAAAAAGTATGAGTACTTTCTAGAATCAATTACATTTACATGCACAAGTTTTCTCTACGTAAGAGATTGCTGTGGTACAGATTAATTCAAACAACTCATTTTTATTTGCAGCAGGGCAATTCATCTATATTAGCAACTCTAGCTATTTAATCTCTTCATATATAACAAGCTATTCCTCAGTTGAGACTTAAGTGAACAGTGATGTGTCAAAATGTTTTAAGTGTTCAACATACAAAGCAAGACATTTAAAAAAGCTGAACGTCATTGGTAGTGCAAGAAAAATCTTGCTCCATTTGTATATGCATTTTAAAAAAAGCTCGCATTTATATGATTACAAACACTATAGCATCACAACACTAGAGAGAAATCAAAAACTGCATTTTACGCACACCGGCTGCTAAGTGGGGACCTGGTGCAAAATCCCTGTGGGGACACCTGCTGCGGAGATGCAGTTGCATTGCTAGTGCTTCCCACCTGAACCAGTTCTAACAATCCCCCAGTCCTGGGCAGGAAACATAGTTGAGGCTTCCTCCAGACAAGCAAAACCACAAAACGTGAGCATGGCTTGTGCACCAAAACAAAAACATGCACACAGATATGATCCTACAACAGCAATTGCAATCACAAAATCCTGTGGAATAGACAAATCAAGGTGCCCTAATGATTTCTTATTTGTTTTACAGAATAATATTTTCTTTGTTTAAAAAAAAAAAAAAGTATTTCCTCAGAATTGTTATTCAGGTGACATGTGATGAATACCTGTTTCATTCAGAAAGGTAATGTCACACTCAGGGAATCCAGAAATAGCAGCAGCTACCTAACAAATGAGTTCAGATATCAAAGAGAATTTCAAATTTTAATTTTAGATGGATATTATATCTACAATTCAGTATGCATTATTACGATTCGTGGTGCTTTCTTACTCCAAAACATTATTCCATCATCACTTCAACAGCAGTATTTCTGTAATATAGACAAAAAGCTACACAGGATTCTCACATAAAAATATGTGTGAGCCTAACTAAATTTCAACCCAGATCACAGTCAATTACGTCCACTTTGCAGCCTATTATCTCTACAGTCTTTTAGTGGCGAGTGTTTAAAATAAGCACATATAAAATAAGCTCCGAGTTCACCATGAGAGCTGAAAATCCAATGTGAAGAAAAAGAGCTCATCCTGTCTCATTTCAACCAATTTTAATGTTTCCTAATTACTGCAACTTAAATATTTCAGAAACAAAATAGAAGTGTGTATACACTGGCATTTTCATGCAAAAATAAAAGCAACCCTTCTGCATATGTGAACATGCTTTAAAAAAAAAAAGGCAAATGTACTTTAAAAATTTGATTTCTACATTTATAACTTAATCCAATTTACAAGCATTCTAGGGAATATTAATAACAACATTACAACGTATTTTAGAGACATTTGACATCATTTCAGTTCTCTGGGAGGAACTTCGGTCAAAAGTTCAGTATTGAACATGGAAAAATCAATGTCTTCAACCATAAATGAAAGACCAACACAAATTAATATCTAATTTAGGACCCTTTATCAAACAACACATTGTGCATTCAGCAAAGCTCCCAAGTGCAATGATCTAAATATTAAAACAGAAGCAATGACAGAACATCTACACCTCCTCTCTTGGGCTGCATCAGCCTTCTAACAGTAGTAATGCAGATGAAGAACACAATCCAGCACAACTGACAATTCAGTCTTGTTATTAACAATCACCAAGTCATTATCTCAGTATACCATGTGATTAAAAAAAACATAGCAGTGTCAAAGCAAGTTTTTATGTTATTAGGGTTTTCAGGTTCATGGGGAGTTGGTAAAGCATTAGTTGCTAGGAGGTTTGGTGATTTTTTTTATATTTTAGTGGAAAAATAGTTTTGGCTGTCAGTAAAAAGATGACATGCAAGTTTTCTGTTTTTCCTATCAAGGATGACTGTTTCATCTGACAATAGAAAATACATAACGTAAAGTTTATGAATGTGTTCACACACATTTTTCAGGTTCTTAATTTTAATTCAAAATTTACTGTAAGTATATTACCTTCTACCACTCACTGAGGTTCCCATCTTCCACTAATTTTGCAATTATTATCCTGAAATTAAAAACAGAGGCAGACTTCCCAGGTGCAACTCAACTATTTTTAAATGCAATTTTCGTTCCCAAATTAAACAGGTACATTCACCTTTACTACAACGATTTGTCATGATGCTAATAAAGCTTAAAAAGAAACTGTTGTGCTAAAGTTTGCGCTCAAAAATATTTAGTTCCATGACTTTCCCTAGAAAAAATTAGTTGCAAGAGCTGAAGACATTATCTCCCCAATTCTTTAAGTGAGATTCATACATTTAATAGAAACAGTGGAAGTGTCACTGTGATTAAGCAGTTACCTAGACCACAGGCACATGGTCAACATGACTTGCTTTGGGGATGGTTATCTTAACCAGAAAGCAAGAGCAGACAGCTGAGAATAGCTATGTCTCAAGTCACTACAGCTAGATACATTACAGCTTGCCTGTGAAAGCCTTTGGTCTTTTTCCTCCCAGAATCATTACAGGAATTAACTGTTGCAAAGCAACGTGCAGGAAGTGACTTATACTAATTCTTAGCATTTATTAATAAGCACTTTTTTAAGAGAAAAACAAACATAAGAAAGCATGAAACACATCTTTTGACTGCACGTGTGCAAGTTTTGCCCTGACAACATTAGCTAACAAAAGCTTCTAGAAACATACCATTCTGAGGATTATTCTAACACTCTGAGAATATTAAATGCTAATATGTGATGTATTTTTCACATCTGAGAAACAAGTTTGTCTACAGAGTACAGGGACCTTTTATTTTATCCATTCCCCACATACCATCCAAAACAACGCTGGTTGTTCTTTTCAAGGCTTGACTTCAGTAGTTTAAAAAAAAAAAAGGAAAATAAAAACAATACATTTTTTGGCCTTGCTCTATCTGTGCATGTTTTATCCATTTTGTTTACAAATATTTTCATTGTTTGTTTCTCATTCGTGCCATTCAGAACTTCAGTCATTCCAGGGAAGTAATTAAATCCAAGCAATGAGCTTGTTTAAAACACAAAAATAATAGAAAACATTACTGTAAATGAAAATTGTAGTCATATTTGTGAAACTCATAAAAAACAAAAGAATTACGTAAATAACTGACAGTGTAAGTTAATATATCAAAGCTAAAATTATGGACATTCCTTTAACTTCTATACCTTAGAGATTCCCCTTTACTGCAGTGAGAAAAAAATTGAACCCTTTGATATTAACCAAAAGGTACACAGAAGGTAGGCATGTACCTCATATGATGCTTATTCATCTCCTGTGGTTACTAGCTCCACACCAGGACTTCCACTGCAACCAAACTGCAAGAGAATGGGCAGAAGCAAGCAACTGGAAGTCCTGGACCAGTGCACAATGAATGTCTGCTTAGCTTTTAAAAGTGTCCTAGGAAAGATTTTTCAGCATGTCTCAAAATGAAATTTGAATGAAATCTATTTATCTGGTGTTGCAGTGAAGAGACTGAATGCCATGCATTCCGGTTACTAAAGGGACAAGTGGCACATATACATAGTCCTTTACAGAGGAGCAAGACTGGGTTTTCTGCTAGCCTGCTTCCAGAAACAGGTAGCATAAGGGTTTGAGCTTTCCAGACACATTTGCTCCTTTTAGGTCCTTTGTTCAAGTCATTCTGCCTCCCTGCACTCTTCTGGTAGCTAAAGATCTTGCCCATAGCAGTCAGGATGTCTTTCAATTAACTTCAGAAACCTTTGGATAGGATCTAAGTGAACTAAAGTTACTTTTACTCTAGTTTTTCATGGGTTTTAACATTTCTTTTAATCTTAAAAATATTCATTAATATCTACTTGACAAGAGTGTTAGTTTAACTCTCGAATCATATTTTTTCCTAAGTTCCTCCTTCCCATGTGCCACTGAACTGTATTTCAATAACAAGGTATTTGGAAATACTTTACAAGCTAACCATTTACCATAAACTTGCCACATAAGAATTTGTGTTGATCTAGATGGCACATATATAAAACTTTAAAAAAAGAAGTCAACAATAAAATATTTCTTACACAACACAAAATGATTCAGAAACTATGTTTTAGTTGTCTTCATTACAAAATTTCTCACAATGTGTACCTATATCAGGTTACAGATAATGTACTATATTTTTTGTATAGTCTTTAAAATAATGTAAGTGATATCAGAAAAGTTAGTGAAGAAGACTTAAAGAACAGTTGATCAGCCATCTAAACTAGCAGCAATGCCAGCAAATCAACAGCACACTTCCAATTCCCATCAATATGTTTCAGTATCTTTGATGGGATTATTAATGCAGTAATTTCTGCAAAATAGTTTCCTGTGCTTAGCCATTTTGTAGCAGTTCTACATGAATCCAATAATGTCGATTGCTTCAATCAACTAATATACATACAGGCTAATGATTCTTTCAGCTATAAATAACAGTTAGTTATTCATTATTAAAACCCTAAATAGATTAGAGCTTAGAAACTCTTTTTTTTCCTTCACAAATCAAACAAGGCTTTTTAGGAAGAGATGTCACAGGTAACTAGAGCCAGTGGCTTAGGAAGTCATCTGATTTGATTTTATGCAGTATCAGAAAAAAAAAAAACCAACAGTGCTTTGGGCTTACTCACAAAATATGAACTTACCTTCCCACAAGCTCTGCAATGATGCCTTCTTTTGGTGAATGTAAATCTGGCCTCGCATTTCATACAGTTTGGTGCTTGAGAATCTGGAACCCAAACCGGAGCCACCTCACCCAAAGTTGTAAAAGGCTTTCTGGCTGGAGCTCCAAACTGACCAGCTCTGAGATCATTATCTGGACTATCTGGGGCTACTGCAAGGCACGGACTACTCGAGACTCCAGACTCATACTCCTCCAAATGTTCCCCATTAGTATCAGTAACAGAGGCATTTAAAGATGTTTCACCAGGAAATGTGTCTGCTGCACCCCCTAATTGTGTCTTACCAAAGACATTTTTATTTTTACTATTACCTCCACAATTTGGGGGAACAAGATCATTTTGTAAGTGGTCCGATAATGGCTTCGGAATCTGCAGTTTAAGATTTGTAGGTTGTTTAGGTCTTGCACCACCAAAAGGAACACTGATAGATTGCAAATTAGTCACTGGTTTAGTTGAAGTTTGCCCTTGCATGGATGAAACCTGACTACAAAGATTATGTAAATAATTTTTCTTTATGTGGTCACCAGTGCTGTTTAAAGTAAGACCGCTCCCTTCTGCGTTCTCATTTCCTCTCTGTTCATAAACATTAGTGTAACATTCTGACTTGCTCTCCTCTATCTCCTTTTCCTCCGTTACCGAGTCTTCCTTGGAGGGTAAAGTCTTTGGAACATGGGCAACAACTGGGTTCTGCATTCCATAGGAATCACAACCATTAGACAGAGAGCTTGCTGCTGATGTAGCCATCACATCAGAGAGACTGGACCCTTCAAGCTCATCTATACCAGCCACTTTTAAATCCATGCCTGCCTCCATCATCCCATCTCCACCTTCTTTACTATTACTACATGCCTCATCAGGCTGTTTTGTCTGCAAAAGTCTTTCATTCTCTCCCAGAGTTTGCTTATTATTCATCTCATTCAACTTTGTCAGTTCCCAGTTAGTCATCTCCTGAGATTCAGGGTAACACTCTGCCATACTGAGCAATTCCGTTGTGCCAAGATTTTTATCACATTCAATGACTTCGCTTTCAGTGGCACTAACATCCTCAGGGGCAAAATGTTCTGCAACACGCTCCTTGTAATTGCCACTTCCAGCCATGTTAGGTTGACAAGTTTCAGTGAGCCCAGATAGCCTAGACTTTAACTGTTGGGTTGTTTCCTGTTCTACGATTAAGTTTCCATTACTTGAACCAGAAGAGTTTTTAGCTTCTAGATCCGTTCTCTGAGGAATGGCTTTAATAGTAAAATTTTCAACTGATAGACAATTTTCTTGCATTTTAACAGTACCATCAACTGGTCTCTGTAAGAGAGTCACTGCATTAATCCCTGCTGTTGTAGCTTCTGAAAACAGTGAATCTTTACTCATATTAAAATCATCCTTTAATCGAGAGGAGGGGCATGCAACAGTCAGGCTTTCAGATGAAGCATTAATCAAATGAGTTAGAGAGTCATCTTCAGTGCACAGCCGATTTACTTGCTTTTCTGTATCTATATCTTTTTCCATGGATCCATTTACAGTAACACTAAACTGATCATTCTGTTGGTTTTCATTATCCAGTGTAAAGCTAATAGTGTCCATTAGGGACTGACTATTGTAATTTTTACAATCCAGCAAATCGCCACTTTGTAGTGTTCTGTCACAGTTATGCATGACTGCCACCACTAGTACATTTCTCTCCTCTGGCAAGCAAGCTATATTCCCAGATTTCTTTTCTCCTGTTTCCACAGTGTTATACTGATCATCCCGATTACTCTTTCGTTTAATCAATTGATCATCTGCTGCTGCCTGATCATCAATCCACATGACTGGAGTCTCTGGGCTTATGCTAAAATCTTCTCCATTAGCACAATGATCACCTCCTCCTGTTGGTGTAGTCACTGAATGAGATAAGGAGAAAGATTTCAATCTCTGTTGACATTCATTAGGAGTTGTAGCTTCATTCACATTGGCCACGGTTGGGTTGAATGACAGACAACGAGAAGGCGGATCTAGAATCTGATTCCACTTTGCACCCAATAGCGTAGGTGAAACAGCAGCATCTGAAAAAGTGTTTAAATAAGAGAACTTAGTGTCCTATTAATGCTACAGGTTCTATTAACTCTGTTGCATTAGAATGCCTGAAACAGAAATGTAGAGATGTTCAAATACGGGTACAACAGTAAAACACATCTGCCATAACTAACATCCATGATCAACCATTAGTAGTGTAACTGCATAATGTTTCTGGAACTCAAGAAGTTTAGAGCTACATCAATTAATATCAGGTAGAATTTGCACAAGCAACTTTGAACTATTGATTAATATACTTTAGACAGCTAGAAATGCCTAGATAGATTCCCACTCCCATAAAATGTTCAATTTCCTTGACAGCACAGAAGTAGCAATTAGACTAAGCAAAAAATCTAATACTTCAAATATTTTAACTTCCATTATATGATTTATGTGACCTAATAAAATATTTCTATGCTTGAGCCTCCCAAAACTGCAAAAGAAGCTTAAAATAAGTTTTGCCTAGTTTGTTTAAAATAAATGATTAAAGCATCGCCACTGAGATTAAGCTTCAGAAAACCTTTCTTTAGAAAGCGTATGGAGGATTTTCTATTAAAAGACTGCAAAATTTTAAAGAGGTAAGCAAGATCAATGGAAACAGAGTACAATACTACCAACAAATACTGAAGACAGACCATGCAAAATTAACAGATGTTTTTTGCAAGTTCTGAGATTAATTTACAACTCAAAACCAAAAAGGGTATCACAGATTTCTCCCTTTTCAACGGGGTTCTCCGAGAATACAACTAGTGTGCATCGACAATCTTGTTCAAAATGACTCACCTTCGTTTTGCTCAAATTCATCTAAAACCTTATCGAGGTTATATGCCTCTGCTTGGAAATAGTTCTCCATTTGTCAGGGAAAGACCACCAGATTTTTGTCTGAACCTGCCAGAGAACAAATTACAATCAGATATTTAACCTTCAGTCAGCAGCGTGCCACTACATATTTCCCTGATTTAAGGGGAAAAGAAGTCCTTTGTAAATCAAATTTTACATACATTACCTGCACAAATCAAAAGTATTTTCCAGGAATAAAAATTATTTGTGTGCTTAAACTTGCTTAGTTTAGATTAACAACCTCCCCAAAGTTGCTTTGGATTTTACCTCCAGTCTCCCAAGTTTATAAACATATTTTTTTCAGTGTTAAAATTTAAGCAAAATTGAAATATTTTTTTAAGATCATAGTGTTTGCAAACACTTGCAAAACAATATTTTTAAAAATCCTGCCACACACAAATAATAAAGTAAACATGTTGATGTGAACCTGGTGTCTGCAGCAACAACATTTGAAGAACACATTAATTTTTACATCCTTGGCTGTCACAGCAACAGAAAATATCCTCATCAGATGAATAAAATGTTACTAAGCAAACCGAGTTTTCAAATCCATGTCAATTCAAAGTAGCATGTATTCCACACCACAGAACTCAGAAAACAATATGCACATCTGTCGCTATGCTTAATTCAATGCATTTAGTGTGGCAGATCTTTTTGAGAGGCCAAAATAAAAGGAATTTTTTTTCAGGATTTGGGAGAGAGTTACATACAGGCAGCACGTCAAATTAAATTCTGCAATTTAGAAATTCCCTGACTGCTTAGAAACTTCTCTTTAGGGCAATGTAACAAAATGAAAGTAATGTAGTTCTTTCTCATGCAGTGTTTGCTTAGGACTGTAAAATGCAACCTACATAGGAAAAAAATTTTCTCATATCTCAAGCTTTTATTTTCACTACATATCAGTGCAATTTTCATCATTATTTAGACGACTGAGATTTTTTCCATCACAATGAACAGGGCGAGAGGGAAGAGGAAGAATTTTCACAGTGGCAGTAGTTTGGCAACTACTGATAACAGATGAGCAAAGATATGTTTAACAATAACGCACTGAACAAGATCAAACCCAATCCCATGCTTTTGCTCTCACAGCTCATTATCAGTGCCACTCTAAGCATTTGAAGGTATTGCCTCAAGTTCTCACATTCAAGGAAAACACTGACCTCCACCTGAGCATTTAAACAGAACTGTCATCAAAGCCAGCAATAGCTGTTAAGATATTTCAAAAACCAAAAGATCACAGCAGATAGTGCAATCATTAAGGTGGCATTGCCACATTAATCTGTCTAACCACCAGGATCATCCTAATGGTAAGAGCAAAACCGCTCCAACACCAGTCAGAAAATAACAGTCTAGAGAACCAGAAAGCCAGCTAACAATCTGAAGATCCAGCCTTCAGTTCTGTCCTACCACAGATTAGCTCATGTGGCTTTAAAGAAGTAGCTTAAACTTTCAGTGCTTCTGATTTTTTAATGTAGGCTAGCAGTATTCTGTGTCACTCTTCATTTCCCAGGGATGCTTCAACGACTCATACTTGTAAAAGTTGTTAAAGGGCTTAATGGGTGTTACTTGAATTGTGCTAGCTCTTAAAATGCCTGCTTTAATAATCCTTGTTTCCCTGAAAGGCAGGCACTGGAAATCTAGCAAAATGCACAGAAGTAGTCTCATCAAAAGGTAATACTCTCAAGCTAGGAAATAAGATGACAAGGGAGAAATTAAAAAAAAAAAAATCCAACCCCAAAACAAAACAACCCTAAGTCATTATTTCTACAACTTCACATAATAAATAACATTTTCGGCCTAACAGTAGGAATATGGTCTTCTAGCTACCAAAGGCTTGTAGCAACAAGACACCCTGATTTGTTTTTTAAAAACAATTCACTACCAGCAAAGACATTTTCACTGCGAAATGTGTGCCATAACCTAAATACCACAGAGACCCTGATTTGATCCATTCTCTGAACATAGTCCAAAACAGCCTTATTCTCTTCAGAGTTGGCTTTCAATGTTGTGAAATAAGGAAATGGAGGAGGAGAGGGTGAGAACTTTGTTTTGCAGTAAGAAACACTGTTAGACCTGACAGCTAGACTCCAGCTCAATTAAAAACCTACCCCTTTACCCTAGAGATACAACAGACATAAGAAACATGTCAGAGGAAGTCTCCTATATAAAACTATACTTCACTTTAACATTACCCACAGAGTATCTGGTTTTGAGGAAAACATCAACCAGTTTTATTTCAATTGCTACAACATTAAATACAGCTTTGTGTTTATTGTGGGCAACAGCTACAATTAGGTTACTGGTGCAAAAAGATAATGCGTTAAAATATCACAAAATGCAGAGTTCTAGTTTTTAATGTTGACCACAAATGCGACACATGGTGCTCTTAAAAGATGATCATGTTACAACACATGTACACAGATGCACAGATTATAACAAAAGTGATGGAGAAGCTGGCCACCTTGATCAAAGGTTGCATTTAAGAAGGCTAAAAAAACTCAACATTTTACGTTCTCTATCAAAAGCCAGGTTCTGAGCTCTAATTGTGACAAAAGTGTACTCTTTGATCCCTTGCATACCTACTGTAAGGTCTTCCTGAGCTATCCAACCTGCCCACCAAGTCATTGTATTAAAAATCTTTCATACCATTTTAACTGAAACAATTACATTTACTACACACACTTCAATTAAACCAAATAGATAATTTTAAAAAGCAGATGCTTCTCCTTAGACATAGAAATAACTAAACTCATTCAAACTACATCCAAACTGCACAAGTTTGAAGGTTCACTTGCACCTTTCCCTCCACCATTTCAACTCCTTAATAGGAAGCATCTTTACCAGCTTAGTAAATATCAAATATTGAAAAGTTAATTAGAATCTGTGCCAATGAATATTTCACTTGAAGTTTTTTTTCCATTCAGAGTTCTAAACATCAACCAAAATTAACTCACTGTAGTAAGACTGTTTTGTACAAAATACCATATAATTTCACATTCATTTATAATGTATTTAATTTACATATAATGATAACATTCCAGTCTAGCAAACAATTGATGAAGCTGTGGGTAATTATTTCTAAGCAAAATCCTACTACTAAGGTCAATGATGCAGAGTATTTGTCAGCGAAGCACGGCAAGACTGAAAAGTATCATACAAAATTTTTGACTGCACAGAGTTAAACTGCGACGCTGTCTGAAGCCACAGCACTCAGATTTCCATGCACTTGCATACTGAAAAAGGGCATCCAGTCAAGGCATTCACTAGGACATAAACACAAACTCTGCAATATGGGCGGCCCCAAAGAAATAGGCTTCAAGCATTCATTTTTTTGTTTTGCTTATTTTAAAGATGACGACGATTACTAACAAGCAAGTTGGTGGGGAAGGAATGCTATGCTGATTATATAGTTGCTGAAAACATGTTTTTAAGTAACTCTTCGAACAACTGCATTTTGATTCTGTGTAACTTTCAAATGTTTAGAAAAATTGAGACCTGACCATTTACACAACGTCAAAACCCAGTTGAAAGCCTGATAAAATTACTTTAGAACTAACTCAAATTTATGCACACCGGAGTAAGTAGAATATAAGCCACATTTGCCCCCACCATCTCCTAAATTTAGTCCTGTATTAGCTGTTTTTTCATTGTCATACAAATCAGGAACAAAGAAAGCAGTGTTAGAAATTCATAATAAATATAATAACTTTTATTTACTTTAGTCAGGGTTTGGCTTTTAAATTTTACATTAAGTGTGATTTTATAACATTTGAAAAATACAAATATTCAGACTTAGGAGACCACATGTTTAACAATAACAAGGGCATATAAAGAAGACTTAGAATTTTGTTCCCACTCTCTTACAATCCCAATGTGGTTAATACTTCATAGCATGTCTATGAAATTACTACTTTATTAATGTCTGTATTACCTAATATTAAATATCTAATATTAAATTTGGTCCAATGAGAGGGATTTTTTCTATATTTTTAAAAATTAGAAAGAGATTTTAAAAATTAGTAGAGAGAACTATGTGTGAACAAATATATGTTACCATATGAATGCTGAAGCTCAAATACTGATGCACAAACATGCAATGAGCCAAAATCCAGACTGATGGATACTCATAGTCCAAACTAAAGAGAGAAAAGACCTTTTATATCATTATTGTTATTTCACTTACTGATGTAGGAGGATATATGGAAAACCTTTAATTTTTAAACTCACAATCACTATGCTGACAGCCGTTCCAAATGAGATCTCATTGTCTATGCAAGTAGGTATCTCTCAGAAAAGGTCAGCTGCAAATTTTCAGGTATAACATCTGTCGTGGTTATTAGTATTTTTTTATAAAAGAATGTAACAACACCCCAAGCTTTTCCAGAAGTTTCTGTCCAAAGGCAAAACACGTTGCCAAACCCACAAAAGTCCTTACTGTTCTCTTCCTGACAGAAAAGGAGGACAAGCACTTATGTTGCTAACAGATTCCCACAATGTTTCTTGACCAATATATTGTCATCAACTCTTATTTTTGCCAGTTTAAGATCTAATACTTCAACTCTGCATAGTCAGCAACTGAAGATCAAAACAGAAAACACAGAATGCTCTAAACACAGCATGCTATAACAATTGGGTAGCTGTTTTCCCTGTGGTTTAGAATTTAATTTTATTTTGAATATTTTCATGAAATCCAACATAAATAAAAACAAACATATTCCTTTACAGGTCTTTGGAAACTTTGACCGTAACTCACAGGTACCACTATACAATTTTGGAACAGTTCTAGAATTATTCTAGTCCCAAACTTCCCCCTAGTATAAAGGTTGAAATGATATTTTTAAAGGATCCTTGATAGTTGTGAAAGTCTAGTATTGCTCGACTATTCCAAGCCATGGCATGGAGAGAAGCCAGTGAGCAAACACACAACTCAAACTCTGGAAAAGTGAGAGTAAGAACATGAGCAAACCAGGAAGAAATTTCAATGCCAATTTTAGCTGTACGCTGCCAAAAAGG